CAGTGGCGCGATCTTGGCTCAACGCAACCTCCACCTCCCAGGTTCAAGTGATTCTCCTGCCTCAGCCTCCTGAGTAGCTGGGACTACAGGCATGCACCGCCATGCCCGGCTAATTTTGTATTTTTTTAGTAGAGATGGGGTTTCTCCATGCTGGTCAGGCTTGTTTTGAACTCCTGACCTTAGGTGATCCAGCCACCTTGGCCTCCCGTAGTGCTGAGATGAACAGGCGTGAGCCACCGCGCCCGGCCAACCATTTTCAAATGTACACCTCAACAGCACTGAGTACGTTCACACTGCTGGGCAGCCATCACCGTCATTCATTCACAATTTGGGTTTTGGTTTGTTGTTCACTCTTGCTTTTTTTACTCTTGTCACCCAGGCTGGAGTGCACTGATCTGACCTTGCCTCACTGCAACCTCTGCCTCCTGTTCAAGCAATTTCCCTGCCTCAGTCTCCTGATTAACTGGGATTACAGGCACCCGCCACCATGCCCAGCTAATTTTTTGTATTTTTAGTGGAGACGGGGTTTCACCATGTTAGTCAGGATGATCTACAACTCTTGACCTCAAGCGATTCGCCCACCTTGACCTCCCAAAGTGCTAGGATTATAGGCATGAACGACTGAGCCTGGCCAAATTCCTTAATTTTTTGGTAGAGATGAGGATGTTGCTGTGTTTCTTAAGCTGGTCTTGAACTCCTTGACTCAAGTAATCCTCCTACCTCAGCCTCCCAAATTTACCACAACTTTGAAGAAAAAAAAGGAGTTCCTGGTTAAGAAAGGAAGGGAACAAGGCCAGCCCAGGTAAAAGCAGAAGGAGACATTAACCAAATAAAGGCAGAACTTTGGGGAAGGTGAGAAAGCGATGGAGGGCCCCGGGAGATCCGTAGAAGATGGAGCTGGGCTTGCACAGAGGCTGGAATGGAGGATGGAGGAAGCAAAATGTGTCCACTGAGAACCAGGCTGTGCAGAGAAGGGCAGAGGCGCAGAATTTAGAGGACGAAGCCGGGCGCAGTGACTCACGCCTGTAATCCCAGCACCTTGGGAGGCCAAGGTGGCAGATCACGAGGTCAGGTGTTTGAGACCAGCCTGGCCAACATTGTGAAACCCTGTGTCCCCTAAAAATACAAAAATTAGCCAGGTGTGGTGGGGGATGCCTGTAATCCCAGCTACTCGGGAGGCTGAGGTGGGAGAACTGCTTAAACACCGGAGGTGGAGGTTGCAGTGGGCCGAGATTACGCCACTGCACTCTAGCCTGGGCAACAGAGACCCCGTTTCAAAAAGAAAAAGAATTTAGAGGAAAAAAGGGAGGGCAGGGTTCTGGAGGGTTCCTGTGGGCTATGGGAATAGGTGGCCAGCTCACTCACGGCAGAAGGTTCTGTTCCGCCAGGCAGGGGCCTGGCCAGCCTCGGCACACAGGGACGCATAGGCCTGCAGGGAGTGGCACAGGGCTGTGGTGTCACCCTTGGTCTCACACTGGCCTTGCACGCAACTGGCGAAGATGGACTGAGGAGGCACCACCTGATGACACTGAGAGAAGGGTCCTGCAGGAAAAGAGAAGGCAGGTGAACCAGGAGAGGGGCCCGGAAGGAGCAGGGCCATGTGGCTTCCCTGGGGCTGACTGGACATCCACTTCAATCAAAACCTGGATTTTCCCGCCAGGCACAGTGGCTCACACCTGTAATGCCAGCACTTTGGGAGGCCAAGGTGGGCAGATCACTTGAGGTCAGGAGGTCGAGACTCACCTGACCAACATATCAAAACCCAATCTCTACTAAAAATATAAAAATTAGGGGGGCATGGTGGCGTGTGCCTGTAGTCCAGGCTACTCGGGAGGTTGAGACAGGAGAAGTTCTTGGATCTGGGAGGCAAAGGTGGCAGTGAGCTGAGATTGCACCACTGCACTCCAGCCTGGGCAACAGAGCGACACTCCATCTCAAAACAAAGAAACAAAAAACCCCTGGATTTTCCAGCCTGGGCAACACAGTGAAACTCTGTCTCTACAAAAAATATGAAAATTAGCCAAGCATGGTGGCACACACCTGTAGCCCCCTGCTCGGGAGGCTGAGGCAGTAGAATGAGCTATCATTGTGCCACTGCACTCCAGCCTAGGCGACAGAGTAAGACCCTGTCTGAATAAAAACAAAATAAACAAACAAAACCCAGATTTGTGTGGTGGCTCCCACCTGTAACCTCAGCAATTTAGGAGAGCAAAGTAGGAGAATCACTTGAGCCCAGGAGTTCAAGACCAGCCTGGGCAGCATAGCATGTCCTCATCTGTACAAAATATTAAAAACTTAGTTCACTTCATGCACTTTGAAGAAAACAAAAAAGAAAAAAAAATTAGGCCAGGCACAGTGGCTCACGCCTGTAATCCCAGCACTTTGGGAGGCCAACGCAGGCAGATCATTTGAGGTCAGGCATTCAAGACCAGCCTGGCCAACATGGTGAAACCCTGTCTCTACTAAAAATACAAAAATTAGCTGGGCATGGTGGCGCGTGCCTGTGGTCACAGCTACTCGGGAACCTGAGGTGGGAGAATAGCTTGAACCCAAGAGGCAGAGGTGGCAGTGAGCCAAGATCATGCCATTGCACTTCAGCCTGGGTAACAGAGCTAGACTCTTGTCTCAAAAAAATAAAAAAAACATTAGTTGGGCATGGTGGTGCATGCCTGTGTTCCCAGCTACTCCAAAGGCTGAGGCAGGAGGACTACTTGACCCAGGATTTCAAGCCTGCAGTGAGCTGTGATCATACCACTGCATTCAAGCCTGGGCGACAGAGTGAGACCTTGTCTCTTAAAAAACAGGAAAAAAGAAAAAACAGCCAGGCATGATGGCTCATGATGCCTGTCATCCCAACTACTTGGGAGGCTGAGGTGGGAGGATCCCTTGAGGTCCATAGTTCCAGACCAGCCTGGGCTACATAGTGAGACTCCTCCATCTCTATTAAAACATTTTAAATCCAAAAAAAAAAGGCAGAGTGTGGTGACTCACACCTGTAATCCCAGCACTTTGGGAGGCCAAGGTGGAAGATCATGAGGTCAGGAGTTCAAGACCAGCCTGGCCAATATGCTGAAACCCCATCTCTACTAAAAATATAAAAATAAGCCAGGCATGGTGGCACACACCTGTAGTCCCAGCTACTCAGGAGTCTGAGGCAGGAGAATGGCTTGAACC